GATAGAACAATAAAAAATATCTTATACTTACATGGAATATTGTAAGCAGGCGGTCTTGCAGCTACAAAGGAATTAGAGAGTCAGTTCAAAGTTAAATCCTATAACGAGTAATATTGATGGGTGGATTTAGTTTATAAATCCACATAACGACTTGATAAATTCATATAAAACGATATTGGTGTTCGGCTAACCCACAAAGTGGAATGSAAAAACTTTACAAATAAGAAAAAACTTGTTATCGCTAATCATCACCGCAATGTACAGCAGTTGCGCAGCTCAACTGAAAGCATAAGAAGGCGCCTATGGCAACCCCCCCCATCCATCCTTCTCCGTCAAAATTAAACGCATGCGCAAATTGGAAAGACATGTATGTTGTTACTCAAAGTTAAGCCATTACGTGTGCAATCTCCACAAYTTATTCTGCAGTGTTTGATCATCCACTTATAGTATCGACTATTCCACTGACAGTGTCGTATCCAGTCTTTACAAGACTTGTGCTCTTTGTACCATCTTGGACAATCTAATGAGAAAATATAAATTGTGAAAACCTTTACTATCGTAGCTAGCTAGACATTAGATTTCTCTAACAAGTCGTAACTCGAGGATTCCCGTTTTTATAATATGACGTTTTTTGATCCAGTTTGGGCGTAGCGCAATAGATCTCTTTAGCTTGTATTTTCCCATTTCAGACCACGTGTCATTCTCTTAAGAATAATATTATTTGTTTCAGTCGTATCCATATTCATGTGTCTTTTCATGCGCAATCRTTAAACAAGGAAATGATACTCTAGGGAATGACACGTGGTCTAAAATGGGAAAACATTACGCCCAAGCCAAAGAGATCTTCTATACATAGGATTATTCTTGCGTTCCCGAGCGCGCCGTTCCAATCTTTTACACTAGTATATAAATGCAATACAGTAAATATAAAACAGAATAGGCGATCATATTTGAAAAAACGTATTTTCTCAAACAGAAATTACTAAGAAAAAAATACTGATTTAGTTCAGCGTTTGAATGGTTTCTCTTCCRTCCCCCATGCGTCAATTGATTCTTCTGGCTCTTCATGACTACAGAACTTCAACAGAAATCTCACCCTTTAACTAGGAAATGATCATTAGTTTAACCGTCCATCCATTCATTTCCCATTTATAATTTATTATCTTAGTTTCAAACTAACCTGTTGGTATCCTGGTCGCTGATTTCCTTCCATAATATCGGTTATAATAACCCCACGAGCTTTTCGACAACTCTACTCTTACTAACAAAACGACAAGAAACAGAAATACGACAGATGTGTTCATCGCGACGAAACTCACAGCACWAAAAAATGTGCCTTTGGTCTAGATATCAAAACTACTATAGCTTGGTAATCCAGGGTTATTTATAGCCATGTTTTTACCAGGGAAGCCAATATCTTTCTAATGCCAGGTAAGCCTCGCGTTGCCAGATAATTAATAATTTTTGAAAGTCTTCGCAATGTGATATTTCATTTCCTGGCTTATCTCCGCACGTAACCGCTATATGTAGATAGTTTGTTCAATAATTGCTGAAAAGCCCAAAATTCAGTAAAATTTGGAACTGAGCTGAGTAATCTGAAGATTYGTAATTAGTACCGCAATTAGAAATGGCAATTTCAACTAAAATATATTTCATATTTTTATATATTTTATATTTAGAGTTTATGCGTGAAAAAATATTTTCTGTGCTGCTTGGAGTTTTCCCCAAAATTACCTTAAGGCTTAAAGTTAAGCTTATCTTAATGCATGATTTCTYATTAAGTAAGAAAATTGAAAATTAATGGCCCAAATCTAGGGCGTAATGTTTTCTCATTTCAGACCACGTGTCATTGTCTTTAGAACAAAATACTATGTTTGAATTTTTATATGCGTGCTCATGTACGTGTCTTCTCATGCACAACTACTAAACAAAGAAATGATACTCTAGGGAATGTCACGTGGTCTGAAATGGAAAAACATTACGTCCAAGATAGAAAGGATTTGGTCAATTTTCAGTCACCTAATAAAGTCCTACTAAATGTTTGTACTTTCAATATCTTAATTGGATCCTGCCGCCACAGTTGTTATGGGTACGCTACATTTCCCAGATATCTATTCCTTACTTTAATTAGTTACTTTTTCCCAG